AAACAGGTTGAGTACGGTCCATTACAGGTGAGATCAGTCAGTACAGGTGAGGATACAGGTCAGTTGCAGTATAAAGACTACAGGCGCAAAGTATCTAGATGAAATGGATACAGTCAGTCAGTACAGTGGGAGAGGGGGCAGTCAGTGCGCAGGTGTAGATAAGGGAAGGTGAGAACATTCTCTGTTGTTGTTGCGGTGATGGACTATGTAGGTGAGATACAGTCAGTGCAGGTGAGATAAAGGTGAGACAACCTGTTGGGTTCAGGGTGATGGATATGTGGTGGTTCTGGTGTTTCCAGGTGATAGACAGCTCCCTGACTGAGTTCAGCTGTGTGATCGGAGACCAGAGGAAAGCTGAGAGGATCACAGCTCACCTGGAGAGCTTCCTCTGCAGGTAGGCCCCGCCCACTGTAAATGAATGAATATTAATGTTGATATCACCTGTTACCTGTTGATGCACGTAGTTTCCTGTCTGTGTATTGAAATATTTTTTCAGCTATAAGAAGAGTTTGGAGGATTTTGTGAAGGGTAACCATGGTAACATCCGTTCAGTGGTCAAAGCTCACCTGGTCTGTGAGCAGCAGCTCAGGTACGATTACCTATATACTACAACCATTCTGTGTGTAACGTCCTATCCTGAAGCATTGTGGGAACTGTAGGCTGGAGACAGAAGGAGGTGAGCACTGATTGGATGCTGTGTTTTCCTGCTCTGCTGGTGATTGGTTCATTGTGACTGTCCTCAGGGATTACATCACTGCTCAAACAGGAAGTCTGACGGAGCAGCAGAGACATCACTGCCTGGACGCTCTGACTGACCTGAGGGATTGTGGGTACAGGTGTTTCACCTGTCCCATTCACAGCCAGCTGAAGGTAAGTATTGTGTGTACTCATGGTACTGCAGTAACTGATCACATGTGATAATCAATAATCAGTGTTTGTGTTCAGGTGGGTCTCACTCAGCTGTGGACTTCTGTCTGGTTGGACGGGTCACTTCCTGTTGTTGATTCTTTGCTGGACTCTCTGAACCAACACCTGAGCGACCTGGTTGACCTGAAACCAGCCTGCAGACAGGTAAGACTGTCTGCCTGTTGACCTGTCTGTTGACCTGTCCGTTTACCACCTGTCTGTCTGTCTGTCTGACTCATACCTGTCTGTTGTCTGCAGTCCCTGCTGTGCGTCCTCCATCAGGATGTGGTTATTCAGTATGTGAAGAGAATGATGAAGACCAGGATGAAGAGCAGAGAGAAGCAGGTGGGCGGAGCTAAGAGGATGATTGAAGATGCCCAAAAGATCAACGACTTCTTCAGCGAGGGGGTGAGAGGACTGTTGTAGTTCTGGTTCCAGCTCTGTGGTCAGAATCTGTACAGACTGATACTGCAGACTGATACTATATGTAGTATATTGTAGTAGTCAGTGCTGTTATAATATAGGACCATCAGTTACTAAAGGAACATCATGCTGTATGGAAAACGACTGAAACTAGAGACTGAGAGCAGAAACTCATCAATCAACTTCTCCATAAGACTCAATACTATCAGAGTGGAGTTGCCCCCTGCTGGCCTTT